TATGGGCCGGCCCAAGGCTTTTTATGCTTTAGGTTTGGTCTTTTTCTCCTATATAAATGAATGTATACCGTAATTGGAGGGACGATGATTGAATGAAATGAATGATATGCTTGAAGCATAGGTTTTCTTCTTTTCCCTTTCCCCTGAGTTTTTCTTCTTCTTCTCTATCTTCTAGTGTTGCTGCTCTGTTTCTTCTCCTTCCCTTCTTGCCTCTTTCCTCTTCTTGCCTCTTCTTCCCAAATCTATCCTGCATCACTGATCTTATGGACTTCCTCCACAGGAAAATCCTGAGGACTCATATCTTCACTACTTCCAAAACTTTTCTTGAACATCTGCAGTGATCCAATCTTAATAGATCATGAGGACCCTTCTTGCTTCTTTCCTCTGCTTGCCTCTATGTATGCATTTCACCATTACTGTTGGAGGTACACCAGAAAAGTCAATTTCTCCACTGGACAATGACCTAGGACCTGTCTTCGGATGGTCTAATATGTGAGTTGCAACCTCTATCAATGCACCTTCTCCAACTCAGGTTCCCATTTTCAATCCTTCACCATTGGTCGATAGAGGTAGACCGTGAGGGTTATTCACAGCCATTGGCTCCTCATCTACCGGCTTAAAAATGGAAACATACTTGTTTCTTGAAACATCTTGGATGAAATAAGTTCCTCCCATAATCTCGAACGATCTGATTGGCTGTCTTCCTCTTGCCAATCCATCAGATGCTGAGTTAATCATATCCCATACAAAAGAAGGGAACTTTATGTTTGGATTAATGACAACTGGTTCCAACAGAGAGTTCTTATCAGGTGGCTTACTAGATAAAACCTGTAGTTCCCTCAACAGATTGTTACTTTTAGGGACTTGGCGATCATCATCTATCCTTCAGTTGGAGTTCGTAGCCACAATGGAGAGTTCAACGTCTTTCTCAACAGACTTAGCCCGAACTTTTGCAGATTTTTGAACTACCAAATGAATCACGACATCATTGTTCTTACTAATATCATCAATTAGCCTTTGATCCTCAAGCTTCTTACCATCACAGAAGAGCTCAGGATCTTGAAGGCTTACAAAATCTTTCCCTTTCTTGGCAATCCTACGCTTTAGATACCCTATGTTCTTATGCCTATCAATACGAAATTCAAATTCTTCCTCGCTGGTGGTCCAAACATTGATTCCCTTAACAAGGAAATCATTTCTTAATAACTCCCTGCCTCCAAAAACTAGTTTCTGCCTCTTTAATACAAACCCTTGAGATGACTGAATCCTCAGTTTCATCGATGCAATTGAGTACGGCTTCATCACGCGAATGGGAATCAAAGAACCAGAGACGGTGATGTATATTACAATTGACTCACTTGAACAAAGGGCCAACCGGCTATCAATATAGCTAGCTGACCTCAATGTCTCTTCGCTAATGGTATTCAAAGCAACATCAATAGCCCACATTATTAATTAAATAGTAATTTGTACCGCCCTCTGGATAATATAGGACCCGTTTCTCTCACAACTTTCTGTTATTATCTTCCTCTATCTCAAAATTTCGACAAAGGCAAATATAAAACAGGAATTGATCCAAGGCCTATAGATCCAATGGAAATAACCCAATTACATGAAACTCAAAAATGGACATACAAAATGCAAAAATCAAGAATATGAACCCAGAAGAAACACAAATTATCAGGAACCAACTGAGATTGCATTGTAATTCGAAATTCAAAAGATTGAATAGGAAAAAAATACTAGAAAATAATCACCCAAAAATCCAAAATAAAAGATCTGAAGATTACAAAATCTCAAAAGACGAGCTTTTCAGGCTATATCAACTATAGATTCCCCACAAAAAAAAAATAAAAATAAAAATAAAAATTATTTTCCAATGAGAGAGACATGGGCTGTAAAATTCTCTCAAAAAGCTCATGGTGGATGCTTGGCAAAACGGAAGGAGAATCAAAAGCTAAGTGGGTGTCTGAAACTGAGCTTATATGTGAGGGAAAAAAAACACTACAACAACAAAAAAATTTCGGGTGGTGATGAATAATCGAAGATTTAATTATTCATTTTTGCATTGGCTTTTCTGGATAAAAATTAGGGCTTTTCAGATAATACGAGGATGAGTAAAGCCACACGTACAGAACAATTCTAACAGAAGTGCTACAGAAATTTAAAATGAAAGACACGTGTTGAGTGAAAAGAAAAGTCAAGGACGGTTGGTTGGAGAAAATTATTAAAAAATTCATTAAATTACTTATGTTTTGTCTGAATTTTCGGACTCATTACAGGATATCAAACAAGGTCGAAATATTACATTTTTAATATCATTTTGAAGTAGTCATGGCCTAATATTTCACATCGTTAACGTGCGTGAAACGATCAATCGTAGCAAATGTTACAGCGTGTCAAAGTAGGTCTTTCCAAACTAGTATTTCGAGAATTTCGATAACAAACTAACTTTAAAAGTTTTTCGACGATTCTACGCTAGTCGAATCCATAAATTTTTTATATTCTCTCGAAACTCATTTCGCGAACTATATCATAGACACATCGAATGATCTAATTGAATATCAAAAATAATTAAATATACATCAAACGCGTGTGTTAAAAAATGCGTATAACTCGTCTTTTTAAAAAAAAAATCAATTATTTCATTTAGACAAATTCGATGTGTCTATTATATAGTTCTCGAAATGAACTTTGAGAAAATATAGAAAATTTATGGATTCGACTAGCGTAGAATCATCGAAGAATTTTTAAAGTTAGCTTGTCATCGAAATTCTTGAAATACTAGTTTAGAAATGCCTATTTTGACACGCCGTAATATTTGCTACGATTGGCCATTTCGTGTACTGTTAATGACGTGAAATATTAGGTCATCAATACTTCAAAATGATATTAAAAATGTAACATTTCAACCTCGTTTGATATCTTGTAATGAGCCCAAAAATTAAGACAAAAACATAAGTAATTTAATGAATTTTCTAATAATTTTCTCTAACCAACCTTACTTTGCTTTTCCTTTCACCCGACACATGCCCTCCATTTTGAATTTTTGTAGCACTTCCGTGAAAATTTTTCTGTACGTATAAAACTTACATTCATCCCCTTAGAATAGATGTTATTTATAATTTTACATAAAATGGGGATACAAAACTTTGACAAGATTTGGACGCCATTTTCGTTTCTAATGGGATTCAACAAATCGACCTAAATTTCATCACTTTTATCAAAATTTATTAAAAAAAATTTAATTTTAATCCCACTACATAAGGGCTAAATGAGATGGCTATTATGCACTACACAGACGCCCCTTATTAGAATGTAATAGCGCGGCCTTGTAGGATATATGGATCATCATGATTAACTCCTCTTACACCTGCTACATTTCTGACCATTCCATTTCTATGCCAATAACAGCGTGATTCTCATCATTCCCATGATAACGTGGGCTCGAACCTTTATTAAGCCATCAAGCTCCCGCTTGGTTTCCATTAAATTAAATTTTATTTTTCTTCCTTTTATTTTCAATCACAGTCTTCCGTAAAATAATATTAAGTCCTTGTTTGAGCCCCATTTTTTTATCAAAATACATTCTTCAATAGTGATTTAATATCATTTTAACCATACATTTTTCAATAAAATAATATTACACGCAAATCCAAAAATTTTCTTATTTTTTAACCAAACATTCTCTATCATAATATTATTTTAAAATACATTATTCTAGAAAAATGGGACTCAAACAATCCCTAAATGTAAACCGAAAAACTTTTCTTTATTTTTCAATCACCCATTCTTCCAAAAAATACTATTCCACCCATTTTAATTTGAACAAATGGGGTCAAAAGGGGGGTTAAAACACTATATAAACTCGTTCATCTTAAATTCAAAAAGTGTACTAGCCAACACGATCTAGTTAACACCTCTATTACTTTTTTCGACATAACCGCAAGCACAAATCTTGGATATTACTTAATAGCAGTGATGGAATTAGGTGTTCAGTTGATTTTGTAAGAAGCTACCATACAAGTATGAACTGCCAATCAGAAGAAAATAAGCTCCCTAAGTTTGAACATTGAACTCTCCCCCCCTTCCAATTCAGGATTCCATGGCCATAGGCTGAGAATAATATCAGAATGTTCATTGCCTATTTGATATGTTATGTCGTGGTAAAAAACTGTTAATTTATTTGATCCAAGTCCAACAATCTTCAGAAAAGTTACTCCAAGGACAGAAAAGAAGGTGTAGGAACTCTCCCGTTTTTCATCAGTATGCAAGAATGACAAGTTCAAAGCCAATTAGAAATATTCAAACCGGCTTAACCAGTCTTTGTTCAAGGTACATTCAACGTCATATTGTCTTATTTTCCAAATTCAGTTAATTATTTCTGATAGAATTTGGGTGTGACCCGAATTCTTTGTCGAAGATAATTGAAAGTTATAATTAAAGTACATGTTAAGAAGAATTCTATTTGGAATCCTTTTGGAATCATATTTGAAATCTATTGGGTAAATTCTAGTTAAAGTTCTATTTGAAAACCCTATTGGTAATCGCAATTTGTGTTAGATTTAAAAAAATCAATATAAGGAAACTTTTTAACATTCTATTTCATCTACAACTCTATTTCTAGGGCTTGAATCGTTTCCTATATATATTTGGCTCTTCTTTACAATTTAATTAGGTTGTTTAACCTCATTACAAGTTAAATAAATTATAAATACAAAATCTTTGTATTCTTTCTCCATATTATAATAAAATATCAATTCTCTGCATATTATTTTATTCTTGCATTTTTGTAGTCAATTGCTTCATATTGTGGCTTAATCTCTAATGTTTTCACAACAAATTGGTACTAGAGTCGTTCCACTTTTAATAAAGTGTTTTCAAATCTGATCCAAATTATAACAATTTTTGACAGAGTTTGAGCCTAGTTGTTGAGGGATCCTGTAATAACCAAACGTGAAAACTGAATACTAGACCTGCAAAGTGTAAACTTGTATAGATGCTCCACAGTCCACAATAAGAGACCAACTTTAGAACATATTCTGCTCATTTGCAGTGAAAATTGATTATTATAGCTCTTTTTGTACACTTCTTACAACAATCATATGTTACAATTAACAGGAAAAAAATTATAAAATGGTTACTGTCTCTATGAGTACCAAGTGTCATATGCTGATAAGATCTCACACCACTTTGTTACATGACATGGCATGATTTAGTTTGCCGTTTGAAAGACCAATTTTGAATCTGGAACTTCAGTCGTCATCACAAAATGTGGAAATGCTAAAGTAATTTCCCTGAAATAAAAATTAAATTCTTGTTAAATGTAATGTCATATCTTGTTTCATATTATGAACTAATTATGCAGGGCTAAAACGGCTTGTTACTAACCTGAGATAAGGAAGGGTCATATTCTTTATGAGAGAAGGATTTCTTGCAACCATTTCCTTCCATTCTTCTAAATCGATTTTTCCATCTCCATTCAGATCTACCTCCCAGAGCGTCTGTAAACGAATAAGCACAAAAGTTTGTAAATGAACATAAATATAAAAAAATCTTCAAACTATGAATTAAGTGTAGGCCATTTTGGCAAGGTTTTTTAAATGTCAAAAGTTGCTTCTGGGTCTAAGGAGTTGTTTTTGGACTTGTTTTTATGAAAGTGTTTTGTTTTGTTAGAAAAAGTTATCCCAAGATGACCATTTTAGGAAGTTCTCCTACAAAAAGCTAGCAATCACAAACAGGCCCTTGTTCACTACCTTCTCAACAATTGTCTCAACTGCATCATCTGAAAGGTATAAATCCGACTCGCTCAAAGTGGCCGATACCATTTCCTTCAACTTAAAGTTAGGAAAGAAGAGTATTTGTGTTAATGATTAAAGCGAAGCTCTAACTTATAATAGCAAAAGTAAGCTAAAAGAAGTCAGAAAATGAGTGAAGGTATTCACCTCATCACGTTCTATGTAGCCAGTGTGATTTAGATCATATAACCTGAATGCAACTGCAAGAAAATTCTTGTACTGTAAAAATTTGTTGATAATATTACCATATAGGAAGTCGTGATTGGCATTGATAGAAAATATTCATAACATGACTTCACCATCAAGTATGAGCAAACATAAGAATTTTATCTCTTACAAGCAATTTTGTCTTCATCTAGAGTATTTGGGTGGAAGATACTTAAGGATTTAACAAATTCTTCGAATTCGATAACCCCATTTTTCTTAAGATCAAAAAGCTCAAACAACTGCAAAGTAACAACATGAAATTGGATTATAGTCTCTTAAATATTATTGACCAATAAAAATAAGATAAAGAATGTACGAACTCTGTCTGCAAAGAGATTGTTCTTGCTCTTGCTATTGATGAGTGCAAGCTTAAATTCTTCCTGAAACCAAATGGAAGAAGTCCGTCCAGAATACTTAAAATCAAATACAGGGAAGAATATTTTCTTATTCTTGCTTTCAATGGAGATTTATAGGTACATATATATAGCAATGGCACAATAATCTCGATCCTAAAATTAAGCTGCAGTTCCAACAATCAAGTTACACTAGAGTAATGTGTTCTTATAATCAAGCTATGTGTCTAATGAACCTACCCACTCTTGCTGTATAGATACANCAATCAAGTTACACTAGAGTAATGTGTTCTTATAATCAAGCTATGTGTCTAATGAACCTACCCACTCTTGCTGTATAGATACACTAGTACTGGAAAAGGAAAGAACAACAATTGAAGGGAAGAATCTTAACATTTTAACACTCCCCCTCAAGTTGGTGCATAGATATCGCACATGCCGAGCTTGTCCAAGAACTTTGAGAACGGTCGATTTGAAACTGCTTTGGTGAGGATATCACCCAATTGATCCTCAGATCGAATATTAGGCAACTCTACAATTTTCTCATCCAACCTTTCCGTGATGAAGAATCTGTCTAACTCCATATGTTTTGTACGATCGTGTTGAACTGGGTTATAGGCAATATCACATGCTGCTTTATTGTCACAATATAATTGAATTGGTTGCCTAGGAGGATAGCCCAAATTGCTTATGAGAAGTCTTAGCCATAATGCTTCACGAATACTAAGTAAGGATGGTAACAGTTCGGTTTCGGTTCGGTTCGGCCAAAACCATCACCAAATCGTCAAATTTTTTGTCATACCATAACCACGTAAATTTGTTCGATTCGGTTCGGTTCGTATATCGGTTCAACTCGGTTTGGTTCGGTTAATAACCACGAAAATAAATTATTTTTTATAAATCCATCCATCAAATTGATATAAAACAATTTATGAAAAGAGGGTCAAAGAAAACAAAAACACAATATTCCAAATGAAAATACAAATATTATCCCAAATTTCAATTGCAAAATATAAATTTAACAAACAATATTATAAATTTAACAATACTAAAATTTTCCTTCATTTTTTATTCTTGCGCATTGTAGTTACTTGATTCATGCTCAATAATTCAAAAGTTTCAACCTTAACTCATATTCAATCTTCATTCTTCCCCACAACTCTTATTAGCATAGGTCAGCACACAAAATTGATTCCTATTTAGTAAATAAGAAATGTAAGTAGAGAATACAACGATACTACCTAATCCAGAATAGTTTAACTAAGATTTAAATAATAAAAAGTACCTCTTTGTCAACTTCCTTCTCACTACACCTTGACATCTCTAATAAAAGAATATTTTTTTAAGTGAATAATCGGTTCGATTTCAGTTCGACGGCATAAATACCATACCCGCACCGTCATGAACCAGTTCATTAAAATCAAATACCATATCCACCCCATTGCATCATCTGTTCGATTTTTTTCGTCTCATTCGGTTCGGTTAACCGCGATTTTCGATTTTAACGGTTCAAATTGTCATCCCTAATATTAAGGGTCATACCTTTAAATTCAGCTTCTGCACTTGAATGTGCAACTACATTTTATTTTTTTGCTTCTCCAAGTAACAAGGTTGCCACCTACAAAGGTGAAATACCCTGAAGTAGATTGGCCCAGTCAGCATCAATATATTCTATACTTTGACAATCTACATTTTTAATAAATAAAATTCCTTTTTCCAGGGATAGCCTTCAAATAATTCAAAATAAACATAACTGCATTCATATGTTGCTCTCCAGGATTATGCATGAATTGACTAACAATACTTAGTACATAGGTAAGTCCAGCCTTGTGTGTGCTACACCAATCTTCCCACAAGTCTTTGGTATTTTCCTTTATCAACCAGTACTTGATTAGGTTCAACACATAATTTCAACCTTTCTTTAACTAGTGTATCAACTGGTTGGCAAACTGACATATCAATTTCTTGTAAAAAAATCTGAGGTATATTTCCTTTGAGAAAGAAATATACCCTTTTCAGATCTAGACACTTTGATTCCAAAGAAGTATTCAAGGGAGCAAGATCTTTCATTTCAAATTCTCTGGACAAGTAACTCTGTAGATTCTTCCTTTCCTGGAGATCATTTTCAGTAACCATTATGTCATCTACATATACAATGAGTGTCGTGATCTTATCATGCCCTTTTTTTAAGAATAGAGTGTGGGCTCTCATATATTTTGTGTGCCTTCCAAACCATGCTCTTGAAGATTGTTTCAGTACATACAATAATCTCTTTAATCTGCACACCTTTTGACTATGTATTTCTAGGATCATGCATCCTAGTGAAAGATCCATGTAGACTTCTTCGGATAACTCACCATGTAGAAAAGCGTTCTTTACATCAAACTATTATTATGGCCAATCCATTTTACTACTAAGGATAACAAGACCCGAACTGTGTTTATTTTAGCTACAGGTGCAAATGTCTCTGTATAATTGATCCCATAGTTTTGAGCGTATACACCAATCTCGCTTTAAAGCGTTCAATTGCACCATCTGCTTTATACTTTATAGTAAAGATCCACTGACACCCAACTGGTTTCTTTTCAGGTGGACAATCAACAAGTTTCCATGTTTTATTTTTTAACAATGATTCTATCTCCTCATTCATGGCTGCTCTCCATCTTGGATCAACTAAGGCTTCCTGCACACTATTAATAATAGATACGGTAGATAATTGATTTACAAATGACATATTTGATTTAGACAAATGATGGTTAGACACATAATGACTCATGGGAATTTGACTTCACTCGAAAGTTTAAGCTCATATGTGTGTTTAGGAATACCTCTGGTGTGATGTTGTGGTAGTGTTCTAACAGGCTCAACTATAGGAGCATCATCGGCAAGTGATTGGTTTGGTATATCACTTTCACTCTCTTATTGATAGATTGACCCATTTTGTAGATCACCATCACCAATAGTATCCAAATTTATGCCACTTGCATCTACAATTCCCACATCTTGGTTACTAGTTTGTGAGTCATTATCACCACTGGCATCCAAATTTATACCACTCATATCCACTACACTTACATCCTCGTTACGAGGTGTAACTTTTGTAGAAATATGAACATCATAGTCTAGAATCTGAACTTCCTCCTGGTACTCCCCCTTGAAGTTTAGACTTAGAAGAAAAATACATTGAGTCTTCATGAAAAACTACATCCAGTGTGACAAACATTCGTTTAGTTGGAGGATAATAGCATCGGTGCCCCTTTTGATGAGTATCATATCCTAGAAAGACACATCTCAATGCCCAAGTTTGCAACTTGTTGCATTGATGCTTGTATAGGTGTACAAATGCTACACACCCAGACACAAGAGGAGGTCAGTTTGGGATGGCTGGAAAGATAGCATCTTTAGCGAGGGCTTGGGATGGAGTTTGGAAGGCAATAGTGCTAGAGGGTACCCAATTGATTATATAGATGTAAGAACTTCTCCCCAATAGGACAACGGCATATGAGCTTCTATTAATGAAGCACGAACAACCTCCAACAATTAGCTATTTTTTCGCTCAACTACCATAATCTATCGAGATGTACTGGGATAAGTAGTCTGGTAAATAATTCTATGGGTTTTCAAGTAATACTGTAATTTAGAATTCATGTATTCTCCACCATTATCGCTGCGAAGAACTAGAGTGTGTGCGTTGTATTGAGTACAAATCGTTTTATGAAATTGTTGAAATAACAAGTTCACTTTGCTTTTGGACTTCATCACACCCAAGTTACCCTTGGGTGTGATGAAAATGAAACACGATGACTCTTTGCAAGTTCACAAACATCACACTTAAAACTTAAAATATCACATTTTGCAAATAAATTAGGAAATAATTTATGCAAGTAACCCAGATATGTCCCAGAAATCGGTGCCATAACCAGATATTAGATTTTTTCTTCTCCCCCTAAGAACCATCTATTTCCAAAACTTGATATAACTTGTTTGAACTACTTGATGTCAAGTCAAGATAGTATAACTTCCCTCGCTTAATACTATAACCAATCGTCTGCCTTGTTTGGATGTCCTTAAAAACACAAGAGTCAAGCCAAAAAATGAAAATATAAGATAAGGTCGTGGTTATTTGTGAAACTAACAACAGAGTATAATTTAACGATGGAACAATTAAAACTGAATCCAAACTCAAATTATCAATGAGGGGGATTGATCCTTCCCCACTAACGAGAGTTGAATTGCTATTAGCTGTGGAAAAAAAAAATTGTGAGGATGGTTTAACTAGTGAGACCTGAATAGAATCAAATGTCATATGATTTATAACACCGGAATCAATTATCCATGCACTATTAGAAACAGGTGTAGAAATATTTAAAAATGTACCACCATGCTTTTCAGCTACTGCCAATCATGAGGCCTTCCTAGCAATATCAACTACTTGTGTTTCAACAACTACAGCAGTAGAGGATTTCTTGGAATTCCTCTTTCATGGATAGTGGCTATGATCCCACAATTCTGGAAACCCCACAAGTTCAAAGCATCTAGTTTTGGTATGACCAGTTTGAGCACAGTGAGTGCATTTATAAGCAGATTTGTCAGCACCATTCTTCCAGTGGTTAGACTTTGTTTGCTGGTTTTTGAGAAAACGGTTTTGGGCCACCATGGCTGAAGTTTCAAAGTTTTTAGGTTACCAGTTCATCATTGTACGTCGAATGGACACACGGTGGATCAATACGTAACATTCTTCTAGTTCAGGAATCGATTTTTCCCTCAAAATTTCACCACGAATTTGTTCGAAATCACTATCTAATCCGGTAAGAAAGATATGCACCCTTTTCCATTGGACTACTTTTCGACAAGATTCAACATCTTTCTCACTCTCCATGATCACCTTATCACATGATCCAACTCACTAAAAATTTCAGTCAATTCTCCATAATACACCGAAAGTGCTCTCCCCCTTTCTTTGGCAGTGAGAGGTTTGTTATTCAAGGCAAAAACTTGCAACTCATCCGTTCCATCATAAAACTCTTTAGAGAGAGCTTTCCAAATATCACGAGCCATGGGTAAACGAAGATACCGCTTCGTAATTTTTGGAGAAATAGACATCAAAAATCATCTCTTGACCTTTTGATTATCCGTATACCACTTCTCATATCCATCATCTTTCTCTATAGGTACCTGTGAATTCCCATGAATGAAGGAGAGTTTCTCCTTCTCTGCAATATGCATTTCCATGATTTGAGACCACATATCATAGTTTGTCTCATTGAGTAAAATCCCTGCATTGAAAGAGGAACCTTCGGATTGAATAATAATGGGAGTAAGTTTGTTACCACACAATCTGTCTTATTCATGGTGGTATTCATTGTGGACTTTGAAATGATTTAGGTGTGAGTGTCGTGGTTTGAAAGCAGATTGTACGCAGGATTATATAAGTGAAGGCAAAATCTGATGGTAAATGGTTATGTGGTTTGTGTTCAGAGGCTGTCAGAGATGGAATTAGCAGTGTAAATAAAAAAATCGGTTCCGGACCTCCGATTGCAGAGTTTTCCTCTATGATCAATATTTTCTGATCCCAGAAATTTCTTTGTCAAAGAATCTAATGGGATCAGTTCTTCAGCAAAAAACTTGGAAATATCGGTTCATCTTTCGAGGGAGATGAAGCTTCTGAGATTCGAGTTAAACAAGCTCTGATAGCAACTTAAAATCAAATACAAGGAAGAATATTTTCTTATTCTTGCTTTCAATGGAGATTTATAGGTACATATATATAGCAATGGCACAATAATCTCGATCCTACAATTAAGCTACAGTTCTAACAATCAAGTTATACTAGAGTAATGTGTTCCTATAATCAAGTTGTGTCTAATGAACCTACCCACACTTGCTGTACAGTTACATTAGTACTGGCAAAGGAAAGAATAACAATTGAAGGAAAGAATCTTCACATTTCAACAAGAATTAGCTCATTTTCTATTTGTTATTGATCTCGACTCCAGGGATCAGGGCTTAATCTACAAGTAAATTATTCTAGTATTGCTATTCAGATTACAACTTTACGGTTGAACTATGATAATTATACCTTGTGAATAAGACCATCATCGATAATGGAACGGCTTAGTTGTTCAAACAGAACATGTAAAGCCTCGACTTCGTTCACATTAACTGCCAACAGAAACAGTGTTTTCAGAATCAATGTGAAAACTGTTCATAATTCATATTTATTTCGTTCAACAGATAAGAGTGTTCCAATTAACTCACAAGTTGTCTCGGCAGCGAGAATGGCATGGTCTTTAAACCGGGCTGAATATCTAGGTTTCGATGAGCAAAAACAGCTCTTTATGGAATGCATAATCCTGTGCAAACTGAGGAAGACGAGAAAATTTATAAATAAACGACAGTATAAGAAAAAAAGAGCAGACATGCACTCATTAACATTTGCACTGATCAGAAATTCATAACCGTAATTTAAACTTTCTCAATAAAAATCGTGGATTGATCAAAATCAAAATTACAGGTGAATTTGCAGAGATTCAAGAGAATCAACTGTTTCAACAATGAAACAGTTGCAACTAATTATGAGACGACTCTCTGGCTTGCTACTTCATACGCCATTAAAAACAGGTCAAAAAGCATGTTTATCATTTTCTTTACCACACTCAAAGAAATCCACAATAACAAGTACACCCACCGTGCAGAGCCATCATCTGTGCAACAATTTCAAAATTTTCTCTGGATTTATAATATATATATATATATATATTTTTTTTTTTTTTTATTTATTTTTTTTTTTTTTCGCCCCTTGACATGAAAATCCAGGCTCTGTTACACAAAGAATATATATTTACAGCATTCAAACATTAAGAGAAGAAAGATACCTTTATCTTTTTCTTTTTGTTCTGGTGAAGGCGTTAGGCTGTTGTTTGGTCGGATGGTAAACTCAGATTGCTCTATATAAACAACCTGTATATGAAATCGTAAAGATATTCATCAACAATTTATTACACATTGTTTATATTAGAAAAATATTTTTAAAAAACAAAGACAGGTTTGTATTATTTTATGAAACTCTGTTCAAACTATGTGCGTTTTTTTATATTTTATAGTTCATGTCGAGGAAGGAAAAAGTCTTCTTTTGCGTCACTTACGTGAAGATTTTAAGCCCCCGTTTGGTCACCATTAATTTTCATTCCAGTATATTTTATTTTTTTCTCTTATTTTCAACCACATAATTTTTTATAAAATAATATTACACATAAATCGAAAAAAATTTCTTCTTTTTCAACCACTCATTTTTCAAAAAAAACATTATTACACCCATTTTCATTTTTACTAAATGGGGGTCAAACTCCCGCTTGACCCCCATTAAATTCTATTTCATTACATTACATTTTTCTCTCTCTTATTTTCAATCACAGTCTTTCATAAAATGATATTACACATAAATCGAAAATTTTTCTTTTTTTTTCAACCACTCATTTTTCAAAAAAATAATATTCTATCTATATCCATTTCTAAAAAATGGAGGCCAAACAAGGGGTTAATAACTTTCTTTATTTGGTAAAGTCCATTCAATAAACGATTTTTAGGCTACTATCTGTACTATATTTGAAATTTATCATATAAATCAAAAACAAAGAATATTTTTTATTATTAATGTGTCAGCATACTAAATGGGGCGGTTGACATTGTCACTCTGCGTGTTCATGTGGTTGACATTATTGCACCCCCACTACTCTTGAGTTTTTTTTTTTTTTTTTTTTTTTTTTTTTTTTTTTTTTTTTTTTTTTTTTATTTTAATTGCCGAAAGAGAGAATTTTGCTTTCGTGTGAAGGAATAAAAGAGGCAAAATGTATATTAAACCTCTAATTATTGTAATATAATTCTGCTGGTTAACATTTTCACAATCTTGAAAGAAATAAAAATAAAATAAAATTGGTTGAAATATAAACCAAAGAATATTCCGAGCTAGATAGAAGATAGAAAAATGTGAATGAAGTAGGCGTAAAATAGTTCACTGTTCAAGTAAGTAGTAACGTACGAGAAATAGAGATATTATCGTCTAATAAAAAATATAGTCGCGACATAGCTCAACATTTAATAAAATTTTGGAAGATAAAATTAAATTTTGAAAAGAGCCATTACCCAGTGAAGATGGATAGAATATGTCAATAGCTTACCAAATAAACTTATATTCATAAAATCAATTGTCATGTTAATTGCAATACATGCAAAGATTTATATTTAGTATTTATACTAGTAAAGGGGCATGACACTTAGTCATTGTTTGAAAAAAAATATTAAGGAGAAAAATATTTTTTTCCATTTTTTTTTTCTAGTAAAATGGACACTTGATTAAGGAGAAAAATATTGATAGCTTCATGTAGTATGATCCGTTAATTTTGTTGGAATTGTAATCAAATAAATTTTTCAATTGCATACTATTTGTCTAAGTCCCCGTTTGGTAGCAATTTTCACTAAAAAAATTAATTTTCTTGATTATTTTTTTACTATTTCAGTCGTTATTATTTTTCTTTCTAACTGTGAAAAAATCAATTCTTATAATCACTATCGAACAATGTGTGTGCATTGTACCAAAAATTAATTGAATGACGCCTAAATTATGCAACTTGAAAAATTAGAATACTAATAAAAGAAATTAGACTGCTGTTTTATGTATTGGAAATTAATAACACTTTAGCCTCACTATCAAGTGAAAATCGTGTAGTTAAGTCTCAACATGATCAATATTTCATAATTATCATTTTCGGTTATTTTATTATTTGATTGACTTTTGTTTGTCAATTATATATTTTTCTAGTGTTATTTGTACGACAATTTCCATTTATTGTCTTCAATTTGGACCGACGCTAACATGCTTGCTTGTGCAAATCAGGAAGTTCTAGTCTAATTTCACAAAAATATTAAGACCCTGTTTCGCCACCATCATTTGATGTTATAATTTTTTAAATAGTATTTCTTGGGGGGAATGTATGGTTGAAAAATAAGAAAAGATTTTTTTTTGTTTATGTGTAATATTATTTTATTGAAGAATGTGTAGTTACTAAGAAAGAAGAAAAAAATGTATTAAAATTTACTGGGGCTCAAATGGGGTATAATTTCTTAGAGTCTTGCTTAAGGGGTGTTTTTCCCCTCTTTAATAAAGTCTGCCTTATCGGAGAATTGTAAAAAATAATCAACCTTGTTTCATGTAAAAAAGCAGTTGACAAATGAATTGACAAATACACTAGAAGCTTTTGTACAAGAAACTTTATTCAAAAACAATAATAAAAAATCTCGACTGAGACATAGTGCAATACCTATTGCTCTCTTATTTGGGCATTTGTCTAGCAAAGTATTATTTTTAACATTTCAATAGTTGCTATGTTAAAAGGGAAAAAGCTTGAAAATTTTAGGACCTGTTTGATAGGTCATTATTTTTGATGGAAAATGGAATTCAATTTGCAACTTCCACTTTTTGGTTGTTTGATAGCATATTTTTTTCCAGGTAATTGGTTTTCTTGGTTTTTCTTAAAACTCAATTCTCACCAATATGGTGGGAATTGATTTTCTAGGCCATTGCTATCAAATTTTTTTTATTTTTTTTTGTATAATGGAAACAAATTATATCCCTAATTGTAAAAAAAATATTTTCCTTTAAGGGAGTGTTTGATAGCATGGAAATGGAAAAAAAAAAGATGGAATTGGAATTGAAAATTCCAACTTTTGGTGTTTGATACCTTATATTTTTCATGGAATTGCATTTCTTGGATTTCTTAGAACTTGGAATTTTCCTTGTTTTAGTGGAATTTGAATTCTCACCATATATGATGAGAATTCAAATTCCACCCTACTGTAGCGATTATTTTTTTTTTTTTGGTAATGAAAATCAATTCTAAGAATTATTGTAAAAAAATATTTCCCTTTAATTGACAATTTTCATGTAAAACAAAGTCAAACGAACATTAAAAAATACTTTTATTTCAACATTTTCCACGTGAAAAATTATACCAATCAAATACAATAATTTACAATTCACAGGAAAACAATTCTAGGTAATTCAATTCCCTGAAATTCATTTTCTAGGCAATTCAATTTCATCTTTGCAATCAAATGGACCCTAATTGACAAATTTCATGTAAAATAAAGTCAAATAAACACTAAAAGATAAATGCCTTTCTTGACCTTTTTTTTCAATGAAAACAAATTCTATCCCCAATACCAGTAAATTTCATCTCTTTAATTAATAATTTTCATATAAAAAATGTCAAATGAACACCAAAAAACACTTTTACTTCAACATTTTTCACGTAAAAAATTATACAAATCAAATACAGTAAATAACAATTCCCGGTAAAATAATTTCTAGGTATTTCAATTCTCTCGAATTCGTATTCTTTCCATCCAAATTTCATCTTTACAATCAAACGGACCATTAATTGACTAGTGATGGAAAATGGAATGTAATCAAAGTCAAAGACATCATTTGAAAAAGAAAACTAAGAGTACATTTGATTGTCAATATGTTTCATAAAAAACGTTATTTTTCACCCAAATTCCTATTTGTGTGCTCTTTGATTGATATTTTTTTCCATAAAAAATATTTTCCTACTTTTGATCACGTGATCATATTTTTCTTGAAATAAGAAAAATATTTTTTTTAGAAGGAGTAGATATTTATTTTTCAAGTAATTCACTTCATCTTTCTCTTTCATCTACCAATTCTTCCCTATTTATCCGTCAATAAAAAATAGACAAATATAACATTTTCTAGGTTGGAAATAAAATCAATCAAACACATTTAATAGACAATTTTCTTGCAAATAATTTCTAAGCAATTGAATTATTTAGAATTTATTTTTTTCTATGTAAATTTCATGTTCGCAATCAAAAACACACCCCAACTTACGAAATATAAGTGATAAATGCCTCTTTTATGTGAAAAGATAAAAATACCCTCCATTCCACAGTCAACCCATTTGAATTTCAAATTTGAGGGTAGGAGATACCTTCACAGACTCCCATTGGGGGTTTGTGATCACAACGACAATCCACTTTCCCAACACTACAAATCAATTATTTTTTCCAAATCTTTGAATGTCAAAGTAAGTATACATCTAAATAGATAAGTTTAAAGTATAAAATACATTACTCGAAGAACATTGTAAGCCAAAAAATTAAAAATTTAGAAACTAACAAAACAAATCAAAGAAAATAACCATTAATGTAAATTCAATCACACAATATGAGACATAGAGATGGAGATGAAAATTGATGAAGAGACCTTGAAGGATCGATTTGTGGTAGGAGATGATTTATAGGCCCTTCAAATTTCAACGTTCAAAATGGGGTAAAATGGATATTGTAAATGCCTTTAATTTTAAATATATTTAATAAATTAAAAAAAAAAAAAAAAGAGTCAAAGGTTATTTGGAAAATCTTGAGCATTCTCCACTAATTCCTCCTTGTAACCTAGCCATAATCTTTTTCGAATATAGTAACGATATTCATAGTCAGTAGTTGCAATAGTTATCCATATGCAGTAACTTGTTATTTGAAACATTATATGGTTATTTGAAGCAACGAAGTTACAAAAAATTAAGACCTCAAATAGCGGGCAGCTTGTAAAATGACTATTGCGGTCGATGAATATGAATAACATTATTATTTGGAATAGTAGCAGAATTGGGTCTAGGAAAGTTGGATAGGGGTTTGGACCAAACACTTTTGGGCCGAACCTTTCAATAACCAATTTGCAGGTCGCAGAGAGCTCAATTGTTAATTTGTGGAAACGTGATAAGTTAGGGATGATTTGCACTAATAAAAAAATTACAGGCACTGAATTGCAGACTCAAGATATTTTAGGGACCTAATTGAAAACATAAGAAAATTCAGAGATCAAGTTGCAGCTTCCAGATATTTCAAGGACAGTTTCCCAACTCGAAGGTGAGAAATTCTACTAAATGACAATTTGGTGACCCGGAGCAAGGAACAAATTCCGTGGTATTTTGAATCGAGTTA